TTGAGGAACGAAACGCAGACTGGCTTGTGTCAGATCATAGTGATGAACTTGCCCGCCAAGGCTTTGAGAAGCTGCAATATTCAGCAGACGAGGGATTTCCAGATGTCCTTGATTTGAGCGCGTATTACAAGTAATTCACGTTGCAACGCTGGGATGAACAAATTTACGATGCAGTGTTTAGAAAAGATGCCGAAGTGAAGAGAAATGCTGGAAGGAAGAGTTTCTTTGCTGCAGAGTTCGATCGTCTGCATGGAAAACTTGGTAAAAGCTCTTTGTTAGTGTATCAGCGTAGATTCTATCTTCATATTTAGACGGAGCTACCCTCATAGAGGATGATCAAGTAGAAATTAAAGATGCCGAAGACAACTTTGAAATGGAAAATGATAAGTGAGTTCCTAGTTTTCATGATCGTTAATTCCGATTTATATTTCATTACTGCAACTTTTCAGATATTTGGCAAGTCTTGATCAAGAAAAAATTAGCGAACTTCGACAGGAGATTGCTGAAAGAATAAGTACGTTGGTGGCTCACTTTTTCCCCACTATGCTGGCTTTTTCTGAGTGACCTCTCTAATTTCTTTCGCCAGTTCCAGTCAGTTTAATTTTTTCCGAAAATCATCGGCATCATGTAAAAATTCAGAGCCGGAAACACTTGCGTTCTTGAAAAATCGCCACAAAAATGAGTCAAAGCAGGAATCCAAACCTGCAGGTAGAAGAAGTTTTTGGCGTTATATAAAAACCTCTTATGAAAGGCAAATGTTGCAGTTTCGAAGTTCAAAGCATCCAGGAAACCGCTCTCATCACAAACACCTTCATCCGTTAAGGAAGTAGAGCCTTCAAACTCCATTGAATCAATGCCACCGGCACCTCCACCTCCACCAGTGGTGGAAGATATGTTAAATCAACTTGAAGTTCTGGATGAGTTTTCTGATCGCAACGACCAGGAGAAGTATAATCGTTTAGCAACGGTATATTTTTCGTTTGATGGTATGCCACTTCTCAGTTAGCTTTTTACATAGTGATACGTGGAGATTTTCTATAGAGAACTTTGAAGATTGCCTTCTCTACTCCATTCCTTAGCTTCTTTCATTTTATCTACAAACTTCATTTATATCCTTGTCCAATTCCATCTCATTTTTAGGATGCAGTACAGTTGGATTTTGCTACCAAATGTTTGCGTAACGTTGCTCCGCGACAACAGAAGAATGCAGTGAAGCTTTTTGACAACTGCAAAATTGCACCTAGTGGGTAGGTTCAGATTCATTCTTAACTTTTCTGAAGCTATTGTGCTTTAATTTGTGGTTAATCTTCTAGCAGCAAGGATCCTGTCCTCGAATTGGCTCGCTCTCGCATTGATGACATTAAGGAACTTTATCTGGAAGAGATGTATGTTGATTTCTAAGGAGTCCCTCAGAATTGGGGGCTGCTTAAATGATAGTTATAGAGATTGCGAGTAGGTAGAAAGTTTTCTCTTCTTAGAAAGTCTGGGGACGAGAGATTCTTCCAGTTTGGTCAGGGTGTAAATCCTCTTGTAGATGGATCTTGGACACTTGTCCCTATCCGGCGTGTGCTTGATGCTGTGAACAAAAGAGAAGAGTCGGTTTCTCCGCGATCCTTCTTTTTTTTTTGTTGTGCATGGAAGAAGTTTTCAGAGAAGTTTGTGGAGACGATATTGAGATCGTTCGCCTGGCATTGTTGTGGACATTATTACTGCATGACGAAAGGTTGACGGCCTTTCTGGCATTTGCAGATCCTAATGATATCTATGTTAGATTAGCAGAAGTGCTGCTTGTAGGTAAGCGAATTTGAATTTTTT